CACTGAGTACAAAGGAACCTGTGGTCTCAGTCACCTGGCCACAATGATTGGTAGCACCATGAAGTCTTTGGCATGTGCCCAGAGCTCCACTTCAGTGGTAGACTAGTAGATCCCTCTCCCACCCATGCCGTGTCCTTAAGGGCTCTCAGGAAAACTCACATAGTTGAGTTCCAGTTTTCAGTTTTCAAAACTTAAAAGTTAAGGTTGTAAAGGGCAACCTGTCTGTCAAGTCTAGCTGGTAGGCATTCTTGGTTTAGAATGCAATGCCACTCATTTAAAGTAAAAATAGATGGACATTGGTTCAGTATGATGGATACACAGGTCACTTGTGAACGGTTAAGTAAGGTCGGAGGAGGGTTGTATTTTCCCAGTAGCACCCTTTGTAGCATTGTGTGCATGATTTCAAAGGTAAATTAGGTAATGTGCCCAAGGAAAAGGTAGGGTGGGCTGGTATGTCCACTTTTACAACAGTGACTTCTAGAATCTAAGTGAAGTAGATAATTCCGTAAATAATGTTTATTACCAAAAATGACTAAAAAAAGCTGGATGAAGCAGTAATCATAAAGAATTCATAAAAGAGTTCTTTAAAAAATCAGGCTCAGCATAGTATATAATAGCCAATTCTACCAAAAGTTTCAGAGATGATAACGCATAGGTGATGAAAGAGTCTTCCAAGATCACCCGTCTTGCTCCTAACTGTCCTACTTGCAGGTCCACCAGGCGGGCCTTACCTGTGACTTCTCAGAACTCCCCCACCACGTCAGCACAAAACAAGAAGTTGAGTCTCTGGTGCAGTCTGTATACTGTTTACTGAAAAGCTTACCCAAGCCCACACTTGTGACAATTGCAAGGTAAGTTAAGTAGGTGGGATAATGCCTCCTCCCCCAAGAGTCCACATCATATAGTCTCCAGAACCCACCAGTGTGGAATTTGCAGACGTGTTCGGTTTGAGGATCTCAAAATGGAGACGCCCTGTGGGTTGTCTGGCGGTCCCAGTGGAACCCAAGGTTTCCTATCCGAGACAGGCAGGAGGGTCAGGGAGAGATGTGGGGCCGCTGTGCTGCTTGCTCTGAAATTGGAGCATGGGGCCCTGAGCGAAGAAGCAAGTGGCTTCCAGAAGCGAGAGGAGCTAAGAAAACCCAAATCTCCCCTAGAGTCCACGGGAGCGCCGTCCACCCACACCTTGGTTTTAGGAGCCCTGGTGGCCCTGTCAGGTTAAGTGTTGGACTGCTAACCTCAAGGCTGGTGGTTCAAACCCATCAGATGCTCCGAAGAAGAAAGATGAGGCTGTCTGCTGCACCCATGAAGACTTAGAATCCCAGAAACCCTGCCAAGGGTCGCCAGGAGTCGGAGTGGGTAGCTTTTGGTTTGGTGGGGGGACCTCTGGAACTGCAAAAGAACAAACCTAGTTCGCATTAAGCTACGACGTGTGGTGATCGTTCACAGCAGAAATGGGAAACTAGCAACGTTAGCGATGCTCAGATGAACCCCACAATTCACATTTCCGTGTTCTCCAAATTAACGCAGCTGCTGCCATTTCTATAGCATCCCCTAGGTGGCAGCAGCCATGAGCCGAATGCTGCCACAATGTAATAAAGCTCACTTCTGTGCTGATCTTTAGCCTGATTCTGTCTAGAACCTGGAGGTCTAAAATAAGTACTTTTGGTATTTAGGCCAGCAATAAGAATACTGTGTAATAGGGTACACACAATTTAAGATCTATTTCTGTAAACAGTAAGCTACTTTGATCATTTCATATGATTTTGTACATATATTTAATATGTATATACCAAACTACCAAACGTGCGAAGAAACATTCTCTTCAGATCCAGTCTTGTCGCGCTTGCTTCTTGGCTCAAGCTAATCCATGCTCCCTTCTGAGGACACATGTTTTGTAGCATTGCCATCCTGAAATGAAATTAATACATATCACATAAATGTTTTTTATATGTAAGTCTACATATATAAAACCTGCTTATACTTGTAATTTGAGGCACCCTGGTGGCACAGAGATTAGGCACCCAGCTGCTTTGAGCCCCTCAGCCACTCTCCAGGGGAACGATGGGGCCACCTGTTTCCATGAAGATGGTCGCCCTGGAAAGCCTGGGGCAGCAGGTGGTCCTACTTCGCCCTGCAGGGTTTCTGTGAGGCTCCCCGCGACCTCAGTGGGCTTCGTGATCGCAGCCTAGGAACGGGGGAGGGAGCACCGATGGCTCGCCATCAGCCACGAAGGCGAAGCTTGATGCTTCAACCCACCAGCCATGCCACGGAAAACTGGCAAGCTGCTCCCGGAAAAGATGTCAGCCAAGAACGCCCAGTAGCACGTCCACTCAGTAAACTGTGGTGGCACCCTGGGTCATGGGCTCCTCCATGACAGCAGGTTTGTACACAGCTGCAGGGCACACACAGAATATCACTGTTCCCTAAAGGAGAGAGCCAAGTAGCTGCTAATAACATAAGGACTATTGAAAAGCCACCGCAGACTTGCTTCTTTGCAAAGAAGAATCCCCGCACGTCACAGGCAAACGGGGAGGGCTGCCGGGTATGGTGGCAGCTGTGCCAACGGCAGGCACAGCACTGAAGGAGGTCTGGCTCTGCCCATCACCGAGCAATCTCCTGGCAAAATTTTGACCCGAACGTCTAGTCTTCCCTCAATTCAGAGAGGAATTGCATTTCTGTCAAGTCCGGTGCCTAGAAAAACCATTTCAGAGCCCTTGGTTTATGTATGAAAGAGTGGTCAGTTCCAGGTTCAAGCAGTTGTGGGCACGTCTTTCACATACGCAGGTGCCCAGAGGGCTTTAGGAAGCCGGGAGGCTGCGGAGCTGCAGGTATTCCCACTACACAACTGCCTAGGGCTTGTAAGCTTTCAGCCCTGCCTGCCAGTCTCGGCTTCTGAAGACCAATAGCATTCCCCTGAGGTAGCTCCCACCACGAACCTCTGTGACTGTGCTTTTGTTTGTTTTATATTTGTTCTGTGTATGTGTACGTGTGTATACTCTATGATGTATGGAACGTGTGACGAAGCATCCTACTTAGAATCAGTAATGTCGTGAGTGGTTCTCAACTCAAACTTTACCGCTGTTCCGATCGTGCTTGAAAGAAGGCTGGAAGCATCTCAACCAAGCTCACTGCCATCTAGTGACTTGCAACTTATATTCAGTGCCCCTGAATCGTTCGCTGAGAAATTACGCTGTGATATATGACACTGCGGGGGGGATCTGTCCAACCCCTGGTGGCCCTGTAGGACAGGGTAGAACTGCCCTTGGGGCTTTCAAAGGCTCACTCTTCTGTGGAGCAGCAGTTTGTGTCCAACTGCTGACCGTGTGTGCTGTATCATAGGTCTCCAAATTTATCCCATTTACTTTTTAGGGAGAAAAAATTACTCAGCGCCCTCTGACAATTAGAAGCGTTTCTCTGATGGCCCATGATCCAGGTCAAATTGTAGGTATCTGCTTTTGCAGCCCACCCTGGGTCATTCCAGCTAGTCCACCTTCCCACCCCCACCCAGGGGTGGCATCACCACCCTGAGTCATTGCAGTCTGCCCATCCTCCCACCCCCACCCAGGGGTGGCATCACCCCCTTTGGAAGTACCTGTTGTTCGGTGATATCAAGTTCCAACCCATGGCGACCCTGCACACTGCAGAACGAAACTGCCAGGTCCTGGGCCATTTTCACAATTGCTTGAGCCCATTGTTGCAGCCACTGTGTCAATCCATCTCTTTGAGGGCTGTCTCGTTTATTGTGTATTAAGTATTTACATGAAGCCTCAAAAATCACCTCACCACCAGAACATAGAATGAGCTTCTCATGGGTCTGCCAGGTGATTTCATTAGGTCCCCAAATCCCTGTAATACAAGGAGCAGGGGAGATAACAGTGTAACTTTAGCCCCCTTATCCTCTCGGTGCCTCGCTCAGCCCAGTCTGGAAGCAGGAGGCCCTGCTCAGATCAATTCATGCCTTAACCCAGGTGAATTGGCGTGCCACTGTCGCTGCTTGGTGAAACTCAGGTGGGAGTTGGTAATCTCTAGAAATACACCCAAAATAGAGTTTCTTCCCCCGCCTTGGAAACTGCATGCATGCGTGTGCTCTTTTCTCTTCGTGCCTCGGGAACCATCCTCAGCACCAGCTTGGGCCCACGTTTTATTCCGAGCCAGCCCGTGGACCCTTTATCCTCATTCAGTGAGCACTTTTCTCAGCACTAGAACCGCCAACCGCTGTCCTGATAGCTGCTAGCCCTAGTGGGCGCTTTCTAAAGCATTAAGATGTCCACTCACTGAAAGAGTAGAACCCTGCTTTCCTTGCTGCTGTTTTCCATGGACATCATCGTCCACAGGCGCTTCCTTACCTCGGAGTATGGTTGTAGCCTGGTCGCGCGTCTTTCTCTCCTTGGTTCCAGGTCAAGTCTCGATGACTACTGTCCTTGTGAGCAAGTGGACGCCATTCAAGAGAAGGTTCTCCAGATGCTCCGCTCCCTCTACGGGATGCTGGACGTTCACCTGACCTACTTAGAAGATTCTCCGCCATCTGAAAACAAAACAGAGCACTGAGCCCCTCGCTACACAGTCGGCGGATAGCCACCAGGTCAGCAGTTCTAACCCACCAGCCGCTCTTGGGGAGAAAGACTAGCCTTCCCGCTCCTACAAAGAGTCACAGTCGTGGAAACCCACAGGGGCAGTTCTGCCCAGCCCATTCGGGTCTCCGTGAGTCGGAATGGACCCAGTGGGAGTGAGGCTTTTGTTTTTTGAAGCCTCTAGTGTAGTGGGGTTTTCAATAGCTTAAAGGGGAACGAATCTCCAGAAAATGCGACATTTTTGTCTTCTCTGTCTGTCAAAATCCCTCATGACAGTGTCATCAGTTGTTGCCTAATGGTGGTTTGGGGGCATCAAGTCTACCCCCACCCCAGTCATTGGAGGAATGACTGGGTCTCTGTGTTCCTTCTTACCGTTGTCTTCCTGGTTGCGAGGTTCCCCGCCCCTGTGCCCCTTTGCTCAGTTTGCTTGGACTTTGCAAGGTTCATTCATTGGTCCAACCAACCGATCTTTACTGAGCACTGAACTTCACTCAGGGCCGGGTGGGTGCTAAGAAGGCCCCATGGAGCGGGGAGGCGAGGAACTAGTGATGCACCGTGAGGTGTCAGGAAGGAACAGAGGACCGGAAGCAGGTGCTTAACGTGTTCTTCATACTCGGGGACCGTGGCCTGCTTGGAAAGTAACTCTCAAAAGTTCCTACCCACCCTGCCAGACCTTGAAAACAGTGGCACGCCACCTGTCCGAGATGTGGGGCATCAGTTATCATTGTGGGCAAGCTGGCCCGATGTGTTTTGATTTGTCATCCTTTTCTCTAGAGAGACCAGCGTTTGATGTGAATCGTAGGAGAAAGGTTAAGCCTTTCTATCTGACTTGCCGTTAGTGCCCAGCGACATAGCTTCCTTCCACCCGCCTCTCCAGGAGGACAGGTTGCTACTTGAGGAGCCCCTCCCTCTTAGTCAAGGAACTGTCCATTTTCCCGTGTGCCCAAGGCCCTCCATATTTCTATTCCTTTGAAAGTGGGTTAGCATTTCAAAGAAAACACGAGCAAAGAGGACGGGGAATATCTAACATTCCTTCTGTCTTTACCCAGCGCTTGCTTTCGGTTCTGCGTGTCATTTCCGGGCCTTGGTCACGTGTCTGCACATGTAGTTGCACGTGACTTCCCTTGTGTTTCCCAACACTGCCAATACCCAAGAGCACTTTACTGTTGCCATTCCAGTAGATGGCACCAGACGCCTTTCCTACCCATGATTCTGTTCTTCCAGAAGATTTTTTTTTTCTCCTGTTGATGAGATGTTTTCTCAAGGCTGGGAAATGTCACCGACTGCTGAATATGGCCGTCCTAGCCAGAATCCATTTTGCGATGGGTTGTAGGTTCTAGCCACTGGGGTGCTGGTTGTAATTGGATTTTGGAGGGCTTTCTCTGTTACAGGACTAGGGTGGGACGTAACATATCTTTAGGCTGGACTCTACTAGAAGGTCAACTTCAGTCCCCCTGCGTTGTTTCCATTGGGAGCATAGTTTGCTGAAAGATGAGAGCCACACCTCCATCCCAGCCTGCCCTTTTGTGTGCCCTCCCCTTCCTGGCCGCAGGAAGACACACTCTGACGTCTGTCTGCACCTCTTTGTCTTCCAGCTGTGAGCCCTGCCTTTGGCCCGCCTCCACCTGACTGCGGATTGGGAATTGTACAGCACCCACACCATGGGAGGCATCTCCTTAAGGGTTTTATGAGTTTCTGCAAGATGCGGCAGTGAAGTTTAGAGCTAAGGGATATAAGAGAATAGCTTCAATGGAGGAGTAGGGGGTGGTGGAATGGTGTAACATCTTGGAAATGTTGAGCATTTGAGACATCTTGAATCTCTAACTCCTTGGGCTAGTCCGATACTGATGCTTCTCAAAGAAAGGCTTCCCGCAGCTGGTGACACGAACGCGTGTGAGGAGCAAAGCTAACGGAGTGGCTCTCCACGTTGACAGAACATGGTGTGCCAAGCAGGCGTACTTTCTGCGGAACAGCCAGCCCTGCAAAGTGAGTGATATCTGTTTTTAAGTGTTGACTATATTGTTAAGAGAGCTGTAAATCAAAGTCACTTGTATGGGTAAATTATTTTGTGTGCTGAAAGAAATAAAAGGCTATGTTTTAAAGACACCTGAAACGCTGGCCCTGTGGTGGGGTGGCATTGTTCTGGGCGGTGAGCTCTGATATAACCTGTCATCCGTGTAGCCCAGGTAAAAGGAAGAGACCGGAGTTTCCCCGCACAGCAGGGGTGGAGAACCTTTTTTCAGCCAAGGGGCATTTGGGGATTTATAACATCATTCTTTGCCGTACTGGCCAGACATTGGATTAGCACCCTTCATGTGCTGGCAGGCTGGTACTGACTTCGAGGGCTGTGCTCCCCCACCCCTTCTCTAGAGCAGGCTCCCAAATGTGTCTGGCCTACCGCCCCCTTTTCATTAAAAACAAAAGTTACTCTGCGCCCCCCTGGTATTATGACCATTTGCAGCATAGCCCATAATCCAGCATCAAGCGTACTCACCTGCTTTCTTGCAGCCTAGGTTGTTCCAGCACCACCAGAGGGCGGTATCACCCACTCGGAGGCTGCTCCAGAGGCACATTCCCATTGCTGCGTTCCCAAATGCTCATTGGGCTCTGCAGACTACAGCGCACTGCTTTGTTGTTGCTGTGGGAGACTCCACATAGTCAGTCATCCCACTGAGCATTTCTAATAGGAAGACGTTGCATATTTCAAGAATCCCTCATGGGTGTTCTAAGTCCCGATATGGCACGTTCACAGTATAGTTGGAACGGGCTTCAGAACACTCATGACAATTAGTCTTTTTCTTTTTTTTTAAATCATTTTATAGGGGGCTAGTACAACTCTTATCACAATCCATACATACATACATTTGTACATTTTTTGCCATCATCATTCTCAAAACATTTTTTTCTACTTGAGCCCTTGGTATCAGCTCCTAAATTTTTCCCTCCTCGCTGCCCCTCCCTCACTAACCCTTGATAATTTATAAATTATTATTATTTGGTCATGTCTTATGCTGTCAGACATCTCCCTTCACCACCTTTACTATTGTACGACCCCCAGGGAGGGGGTTATATGTAGATCCTTGTGTTCAGTTCCCACTTTCTACCCCACCTTTCCCTTATCCTCCTGGTATCGCTGCTCTCATTATTGATCCTGAGGGGTTGATCTGTTCTGGATTCCCTGTTTCCAGCTCTTATCTGTACCAGTGTATATCCTCTTGTCTAGCCGGATTTGTAAGGTAGAATTGGGATCATGATAGTTGAGGGGGAGGAAGCATTAAAGAACTAGAGGAAAGTTGTATGTTTCTTCAGTGCTACACTGCACCCTGACTGGCTCGTCTCCTCCCCGAGACCCTTCTGTAAGGGGGTGTCCAGTTGCCTACAGATGGGCTTTGGGTCTCTACTCCCCTCTCCCCCTCATTCACAATGATATGATTTTTTTGTTCTGTGATCCCTGATACCTGATCCCATTGACACCTCGTGATCTTTGTTACTTCTCAGCTAGATGGCTGCTTGTTTATCTTCAAGCCTTTAAGACCCCAGACCCTATATCTTTTGATAGCCAGGCACCATCAGCTTTCTTCACCACATTTGCTTATGCACCCACTTTATCTTCAGTGATCGTGTCGGGAAGATGAGCATCATGGAATTGCAGTTTAATAGAACAAAGTCTTCTTGCATTGAGGGAGTACTTGAGTAGAGGCCCAATGTCCATCTGCTACCTTAATACTAAACCTATAAATATATGCACATTGATCTATTTCCCCATTGTCATATATAAATATATTTACATAAGTACGTACCTGTATTTAGACCTCTAAATGTCCTCTGCCTCCTAGTTCTTTTCTCTATTTCCTTTTACTTTCCTCTTGTGCCACTATCATGCTCAACCTTCATTTTGGTTTCAGTAATTCCTCTCTGTTACATTGCCCTTGATCAAGCCCTACCAGGCCTCTTACACCCTCCTTGCCGACAATTTTGGATCACCTGTTGTTCCCTTGTCCCTGAGTTTCTTAACACCACTTCCTTTCCCCCACCTCCCCCTCTCCCATGTCCCCCCAGAACCATCGATCCCATTGTTTTCTCCTCCAGATTATTTATCCCACTTATCTAGATAGACCTACAGAAATAATAATATGCACAGAAAACAAAACAAAGCAAAACAAAGCAACAAAAAAAACTATGACAGAAAAGGTCTATAAATAGTTGAAGGTCTGTTTGTTGACCTTTAGGAGAGTTTTCCGGTTGAGTCTGATGGGGTGCCACACCCTGGTCCGAGTATTTTTGGTATTCCCGTGTGACTCCTTGCTCTGCTCCCCTTGCTATTCTGTTGCACGCCCTTAGTGTCTTGCCTAGGTGTGGTGGGGTCAGATCGGGCGCAATTCCCGCACTGTGTCTCCAGTGTTGTCCCCCATAGGGCTATGGGTCAGTGAGGGATGTCGCGTCTCATAGTGGGGCCGGCCATGTGGTCCTCTCTGGATTGGCTGCGCTGAGGGGGAATATCGTCCTCCAGGCCTGGTGGGCCAGGATTCCACTCTCTCCTCCTCCTCCTTCATTTGCTCCGTGTGCTCTGATCACACATGCCCCTCTCCCTGAGCTGTAGCTTCAGTGCTGCCCTCTGATGTAAATTCTTCTGGGGGGAAGGGGAGGCTGTGCACGTAGTTGGGATTGGGGCCGGCCCCTCAGACCTCTCTATTGGTTCCCTGCTTCATGCCGGCATGTTGCATTCACATCTTGGAGCACTGGGTTGAAGTCTGGTCCCTCTTTCCCTGTGGAGATATAAACATACCCTCCCCTTGGGTGGGTTAGCAGGGGCCAGACCAAATCCAGGGATAACTGGAAAAATATAAGGGAAGGGGAAAAAAGACATGGGTATGGGGGAACAGGGCACCATTTGAAGTCTTTTAACTGCATGTATTTGCTGTCATGTTACGGAAACAGTTGGCCAGGCCTCTCTTCCTCAGTGGCACTGGGGGTTTCAAAGCTAGTAGCTGACCAAGCACAAGCTGATCGAGCCCAAGGACCTAACCCCCTGTTGACTCTCACTGCATCTCTGACTAGTGGGACTTCCTGGTTCCAGGTCTGCAGTCAAAGCCCTGACCTCCATCTGCCCTTTTACTCCATCCTCAGCCCTTGCCTGGGAGGAAAGAAGTAACAGGGCTGCCATAGCAGTGACTCATGTACATGCAACTTGCTGTGATGGGGTACACAGCAGTCCAATAAGCTTTCTACAAAAACAACCAAACCCCAAATTAAACCTTCAAATCAGTTATGGCCCATAGAGTAGAATGGCCCCATAAGGCTTCTGAGGCTTTTCTTGGTCAGGACTAATCTTATGACTAATCTATCTCTTCCCCGCAGAGCGGCTGTTCAGTTTGAACCACCAAACTTTCCGTTAGTAGTAGACGCTTAACCCAGAGAGCCCCTGAAACTCCCTCTACAAACCAAAGCAAACGCATTGCCATTGAGCCCATTCTGACTCGTGATGATCCTGTAGACACGGTGGAATTGCCCATGTCGGTTTCTGAGACAGTAACTACTGGAGAAGAAAGCCCAGTCTTTCTCCCAAGGAGCTTCTGGTGGTTTCAAACTACTGACCACGTGGATCGCAGCCCAATGCCATCAAGGCTCCTACATCTACCCTAGAGACCTGGAAAAAAAATAAAACAGACATACACCTATGTTCATTGCAACACTATTTGCAATAGCAAAAGAGAGAAACCACATAAGTGCCCATTTATGGATGAATGGATAAACAGCATGTGTCCATTGGTAGAATATTACACAGCCATAAAGAACCATGATGAGTCTTTGCCATGTAACACAGATGAACAAGGACATTAGGAGTGAAATAAGTCAATCACAAGGGATAAATGTTGCATGATGTTACAACAACCAAAATGTGGTTACATATGCATGCACGCATTAATGTGCATAGATAGGTAAATATGCACAAGTATTTATGTATATGCATGCACATGTTTGTGCATGTCATAAAGCACAAAGTAGGCACAGTTGTGGATACATCTTAGATATAATGAAACACCTCAGAGGATTGTGTTTCTGGGATTGAAAACATAGGGTCCGATTATTATGGGCCAACTCAGTCAATTGGCCACAATAAAGTTGATACACTTCATGTTCTAGTCTTCTTCAACACAGCCAGAATGCTCCTGAGAGGCCAGGATGGCGAGACTCGGTCTCGTTGACTTTGCAGAGACCACAGTATCAGGAGAACGCGGTCCCTGGAGAAGGCCATCACGCTTGGTAAAGCCGAGGGCCAGAGACAAAGAGGAGGGCCCTCCACAAGACGGGTGGACCCCGGCTGCAAAAACAGGCTCAGACACAATGCTGATGTTTCGTTCTCTTATACACAGCGTCACTGTGAGTCAGACCGATTTGACGGACGGAACAAGAACAGTTCATAAACTATGTAGTATTCCTAGTTTGGTAAGTAGCGTCTGGGGTCTTAAAAGCTTGGGAACAACCAACTATCCGTCTCTTCTTACCCAGGCAGAAGTGAAAGAGAAGAATCTCATCTACAGTCTGCATGAGCCATCGTCTCATCTCCCCAGGCATCAGAATGGGGTGGTGCCGAGCTACCAGTTGTGGCTTTTCTAATCAGCCACGGCGCAAAGCAAAGAGGAGAGGGGAAGGGGCCAGGCAACCCGATCAGTGGAAGCAAAGCATCAGAATGGAATTAAGGAGAATGTGGACCTGTTCTGAACAATGTCACCAATGTGTACAGATTGCTACATGGGAACCGAATTTGCTGTGTACACGTTCACCAAAATCCCAGTAAAATGTGACAAAATCACAACGGGGTACCATCGCACCTGAGTTAGAATGGCAATTACCAAAAAGAAAACAACAGGTGCTGGTGCAGTTATGGAGACACGTGCATGCTCATCGATTGCTTTCTCTCTCTCTCTCTCTCTCTGACATCTAGTTGTGTCCACCTCCTAGTGACCCTATAAGACAGGGTAGAACTGCCCCTGTGGGTTTTGAGGCTGTAACTCTTTACAGGACTAGAAAGCCTCATCTTTTTCCCAAGGAGTGGTTGGTGGTTTCAAAAGGCTGCCCTTTCAGTGAGCAGCCCAACATGTAAC